GTCCTCTTTTTCGCATGAAATTTGATTTGTGGATTGGAGAAATGAACTCTCCCTCGTCTTTCTCTCACTTGTAAACACATGAGAGAACTCTGTCGCCTCATGACTGCTTTCTTCTCCTCCATGATGAGGAGAGCATGGAAGAAGCTTCTTCATAAAATAAGTCCCTTGGTGGCAAAAATGCTAAGAGAGCAGTTCCATTGATTCTCTGAAGGGACTCCTGTGAGATAAAGGGAGATCCCCAAGGACCAGGCAAAGGCAGCCCAGAGCAAGCCATTAGAAGGTGGTTGAGAAAGCATCCTCTGGCGGCCCACAGCTGCTTCAGGCAGGCATTCAGCCTATGGTATGCAGCCCTACTCCCAGACAGATGCAAAATTCTTAGCAAGATGCACTGTACTGCCTAATAGGCAATCCTTGAGAATAAATTGTTTATTATTTTCCAAAGGAAAATAGTGGCAATACACAAACACTGAAATATTAGCTGGAAAGCTAATGAGAAGAAACAGATGTCTCTCTCTTGCTGTTATGTAAACGCTTTAAGAGAAAATCTGAAGGGCGTCACTGGCACTGTGGATGTCTGTCTCTATTTTACACATGATGGTATAGACACTCCTCTGTCTGTTTTCTGTGCTGGCAAGGAGAACATCATATGCTGTATTGCTTACAGTGTCTGTTCAAAGTACTTACAAAGACCCTATAAAAGTCACAATCTTCTACACTTTGCAGAGTTCTGTGTCCTGTCTTTTGAGTGTTCTGAGTCTTATTACTAATATATATTCATTAGTTAGTTTTTTGGATTACCCCATTAGAATGTAATCTCCATGAGACATAAGCCCTTAACTTAAGCATCATAGTATATACTAAAAGCTCAGTAACTGTTGCAGGAATAAAGGAATAATTGAATACTTTGAAAATATGGATTCTATGAGTTTTCACACATTTATTATGGAGTCTACACACTTTTTAAAATATTTTATTTATTTTATGCCTCCTCTCTCTCTCTCTCTCTCTCTCTCTCTCTCTCCCTCTCTCTCTCTCTCTCTCTCTCTCTCTCTCTCTCTCTCTCTCTGTGTGTGTGTGTGTGTGTGTGTGTGTGTGTGTGTGTGTGTGTGTGTGTAATACACAGACCGTTTAGAAGTCAGAGGACAAATTGTATAATCAGCTCTTTCCTTCCTCCATGTGAGTCCTGGGAATTGAAATCAGGTCACTAGGCTTGGCAGCAAGCATCTTAATTCACTGAGATATCTCACCAGACCAAGAAGCTATACATCTTTTAAACTGAATTACACAATTACTCTGGGAATATGAAATGAAGTCATTGAGACAACTAAAGCATTACTGAACCCTGAACACTTAGATTTTGCATTTATTTTGGGTGGGGTAGAGAGATAGATGCCACAGTGATCATATAGAGGTCAGAGGACAACCTGTGGGAGGCAGTTCTCCCACAACACTATGTCGCTCTCAGTGTCCTAACTCAGGTCACCAGGCTTGAAAGCAAGTGCCTTTCCATACTCAGCCATCTGACCAGTCAGAAGCCAAACTTCTAACGCAGATAAATTTATCTCAAAAACTAATAGTGAGTGTCTACTATGCCTGTTATGCAGATCTGCATTGTTTATGTAAAAACAAAGAAGATACAGTTCCTACAGTCAAGAAACATAATCTTGGCCTAAAAGTCACTGCATTGCAAATGCTTGTCTTTTGTTATATGTATGATTTTCATCTTCTGTTACTGGTGTTAGGGATTGAGTTTGGGGCCGGTAATAGTTAGTTTTTGTCAATTTAACACAAACCTAGACACACCTGTCAAGAGGCAATCTCAATAATAATTGCCTCTGTCAGATTGGTCTGTAGGCATGTACTCACCATGAGTAGTGCCATTCCTGAGCATGTGAGTCTGAGTTATGTAAGAAAAGAAACTGAGCAAGCTAAGCAAGGAAGCCCGCCAGCAATGTTCCTTTATGGTCTCTGACTCAGTTCCTGCCTTGAGTGCTTCCCTTGGCTTCTCTTGATGGTGGATTGCAAACAATAAGCTAAAATAAATCCTTTTCTCCTCAGGTTGCTTTTGGTGGGTATCTTCCTAAAGCAACAGATAAGGGAATCAGGACAGGGACTCACAGATATTAAGCAAGCACTTGGCTATTTTTACATCCGTAGCTCAGAATGAGTACCCTCTCGTAAGAAGTATGTGTTTCCAGCTGGCTTTCAGATTGGTCTTGGAGGGACATGCCTATGGAGTTGCCTGAGTTCTTTTGGATTCAAATGTAAATCTGAGCAAACACTGCCTCCCATTCTGCACAGTGCCTTGGCAAGTTGTTCCTTGTTCCACGCCTCGCTCTTTGGAGCCTTTTTCTCTGACACACTCCCATTTGTCTATGTTTGCTTTTGTTCCCTGTGTTTTCAGAGTCTCACCTGAAAACCCCCACTCAGATCTACATTCTTTGTGCTTTCTTCTGTAGTTTTAACATTCCAAGTCTTGAAATTGATTCTTTAATCCATTTCAAATTGATTTTTCTAACTCATAAACTGGGAAGAGATGGTGGTCACGACCCATTCTTCTACTACATAGAAATAGATGATAGATAGATAGATAGATAGATAGATAGATAGATAGATAGATAGATATGATAGAAATAGAGATAGAGAGAGAAAGAGAGTAAAGATAGAGAGGTAGAGATAGAGGAGATAACAATATATAGGATTTTTTGAACATAGATTTACTGTTTCAGCTTGGCTATGGATTAAAATATTTTAGAGAATTAAAGTTACACACATTTGTGGCAGACACGTTCAAACTAGATGATGGATGACCTGAATGCCATCCTAGGAAATGTATATTCTCCAAGTGGTGAAGAATTTCTGAATGTCCTGCATAGGAAATCCTGATTAGTAGTGTCTTGAGAGCACTAATATAGTGGCATTATTTAGGCTTCATACAAGTGGCAATGGTGCAGCAAATGCACTCTATTTTAGAACTCCTGGGCTAGTGAGTTTTCCATTACTGTGGCAAAATAGCTGGCTCAGAGTTTCAGAACCATCATTCTGTGCTTGTCTTGTTCCACTTCTTTTAGTTTAGGTTGAGTAGACTATTTTGGCAACAAGAATGTGTAGCAGAGAAGGCTTCTCAGGTTACAGCATCCAGAAAACAGAGATTGATAAAGAAAAGCCTAGGTACAAGATATTTCTTCAAAGGCATACCCCCCAAGCATCCATTTCCTCTGATCCTCCCCACTTTCCACAGGATCTACTACCTCCTAATAGTCAATTCAGTTACTAACTGGTCAACAGACAAATCCATTGATTCAGTCAGAGGTCGCAGGATCCTTTCCAAAAGTCCCACCTTTGAACATAGCATTGAGTACCAAGCCTTCGACATGCAAGGCTGGCATTGAAATTTCATAATCAAATCACAAGCTGGACATGGTGATGGTGCACACCTATAATCCCAGAATTTAGGAAATGGAGATTATATAGTGAATTTAAGGCCATGTCTCACTTCATCGCTTCCTACCCTATAACCCCATATGCAAATATATTTAAACACTTGGCTTTTAAAAATGCCTGCATTCACTGATTTCCGTTCAGTGTGTGTTTGGTAGGAGATTACTACCCACAAAAGACACTTAGGAGATGAATTAGCATCCAGTTTTTTTTTCCTATTTTCTTGTTAAGAATTCTCTTTACATATAGGTTTATCTTTGCTTCTTTCCAGGTTTGGAAGAGGGGCAGAAATATGCTGAGAAGATTGTCATAAGACACAAAGAGATTCTTGAATCTATTACTGAATTATGTGCATCTCTTGTGGAACTTAAAGACAAACTGATGGTAATTTCTTCTTTCTGGAATATGTATTATCAAGTGGTATAAATAAAAATGTGTTAATCAAATGTCTTCTGGTACAGGGATGTTCTACTACAAATTCTCAAGAGACGCAATATGCACATTTGTCTCACAGCATTCTAACATAATTATCTGGGGGTTTGTGATAATTAATCCTTTTTCTTTCCCATCACTGCAGAGAAAAATGTTGCTAGGAATGAGAGCTAAGCACAATGAAGGTGTCTCATTTACATTTCCGTGGATCATATCCCAGAGGATAAATGTGTGCCCTTAAAACCAAAGCAAAGTTTATATTAGGCATCTTGTGCTCATTTTCATAAATAATAGATGTGATAGTTTTCTTTCTCCAGATTATGGCACCAAAGAAAATAACACTAATATTCAGGTATTATTTTTATCGAGCATTTAATACTATGGAAGTATTAAACTAACCATCACAGCCTTCATGGAATTAAAATAAAATAATACATAAAAACAGGGCAAATACTTATGATGGCTATGATAGACAAATGCCAACTAAAGGAAAAATATGTTGTTAATGCTCTGAATTGTTTTGATTGATGCTGCTTTTACAACTTAATGAGGTGAGCCGGTTTAGGGTAACAGCTATGTCACCAAGAGCATAGGTTTTACATCAGAACTCAGGTGCCTTGAAATACCCTTGAGTTACAACTTGGGTAAATTGTTTTATCTCTATGGGACTAGATATTCTAACTCCCTAAATGGATGCCACAGTGGTCCTGAGGCTTGACTGCGAAGCTATTCGATGTTAATGGGTTGGTCTTTGCTGTGGTTCATGCCTACTAGTGAACTTGCCATTCAGATAGAGTTACTTATTTCATGGCAAAGAATTTTCTGATTTTTCCATGTCATAAACTTGACATCACTTTGTTGTGCTTGGCTTTCTCATTCATTATAGACACATAAATTTTCCAACACGGATTTGAAAATTTAAGTGAAATGCTATTGTTTCTAATATGTATACAAAATTACCTCATATAGATATTTGACAATTGCAAAACCACTAGTAAGATGTGACTAAACCATAGGTCTTACCTTATCTTTGTGAACATCTTGCCTCTATTTCAACTCCCTGGGCTCCTGCTCCTTCTCCATTACACATATGTGTACACTGAGAATCCTCCTTTTGCTGACTCTTCTGACCATCATCTATAATACCTTCCTTTATATTGAGCACCTTCAGCTTAATGAAATTTTGTCTCTCCCAATGCGATTCCTTTCCATCCTTCATTTCCATGGCTTCATTCTTCTTGCAAGAGCTGCTTCTGTAACCTGTCTCTACACTCTCATTTTGTATGCCTTGAACACTCCCTTCAGTTAGGATTATATTCCTCCTGTTTTGCATTTCCAATCCAGCATCCCAATGCTCTTTTATTCTACTTGTAAGTCCCTTCATTCTGTATCTGGTTTGATTCCCCTTTCTAAATATTGCTGAGCTCATGTCCTTTTATGTTAAAAGCCCTTTGCTAAACGACCTTTCTATAGTTTTGAGACCTGTCACCTTCTCTGTTGCTTCTACATTCATTGCAGGTTCCTGTCCCACCTTCCTTAGTGCTTCTACTATTATTAGACTTTTACTTCAAATGCATGACCCTCTAGTTATCAAAATTGTATCCATATCCAAAGTTAAATAGAAATATTCCTTTCTCTACACAAATCTTCCTTATTTCTCCCTTGCTATTCACTCATAACACTTGGGATCTTTCTCATTCACCTTAGTCTGTTCCAGTTGCTATGTTAAATACTATAGACCTGGTGGTGCATATGCTACAGAAATGTGCTTCCCACCGTTCCAGAGGTTAGTAAGTCTGAAGTCAAGACGAAGGTGGTTTAACCATTAGGGCTTCTGCTTCCCTGTAGTCACTTCATTCCAAATTTATGAGGTCTGAGGGCAAAGGGTCTCTTAAATCTCTTTTGCAAATTCACTAATGCGTTCCTGAGGGTCTCAACCCTTACCTGGGAGATATTTTAAAAAATGGATAAAATAGTGATGAAAATCTATTGCTGTTTGTGTACCAGTTTGACACTTAAAAAAGGCTTGCATACTTATCATCTCCAGTGATTTCCAAGGAACCTTAAGATGGAGATAGTACCTTCGTTGTTTGATACTTTTGGGTTTCTGCTGTTGTTTGTTTGTTTATGAGACAGAGTCTCACTATATAACCCTTGGCTATCTTGGAACTCACCATGTAGACTAAACTGACCTCAAACTCAGAGATCCAAGTGCTTCTTGCCTCCCTATGCCGGGGATTAAAAGCATGCTCTATGAGTGTTGCTTTCCTTCTTCTAGAAGGAAGATATGGGTCCAAAGAGATTAGAAGTGCTGTCCCTGAGTCTTCACAGTCACTGGTAGTAGATCTGGAACTTGAAGTTACATCTAATTTAACACCCAGAATTCTTTCCACAACAGCTGCCATTGTGGTTTAGATTACAAGTGTGTATTAGTGCTGAGTGGCTCATCCAGTAATACAAACCAGTTTCGTTTTGGAGTAGAGATTCAAAGCTCAATTTCCCCAGTAAGTTCTTCCCAAATTCTCTAAGCAAGTGTAATGTGTACTTTGGGGAGTGTGCCTGTTTCCATAGCTACATAATACCATGATTCACACACAACAATCTTCTGTAATACAAGCAGCATTTAAAACCCTTGTGCTCTATCACTTAGGGCCCCTGTGTCTCCATTTCTCAACACAAAAACTTGGCCCTAGTGCTGCCCCCTGCCAGTTTGTAAAGCCCCACCACCTCTGTGACTAAAGCTGAGCCCTATAAAATGCAGGAACAAGTAATATTCACAGGCAATAGCCTGTGTTCCCAACTGTTCTATTTCCTTCCTCTTTTCAATATTCTTCCAGTTTGCTTGTGTGGATTCCTGGGCTCTCCTCTTTATTCTCCTCCAGAGACTTCATCATCTCTTCCTCACTGATGCTCTTCAGCCTCCTAGTGGCTTAAACTGTCCTACAGAGTGATTCCCATCTCCAGAGAATGTGCTTGCAGGCGCATCCTACAGGAAGTCACTTCATTCTTTACAGGGCCTTTCAACAGTTGGTTTTACGGGCAATGAGCTTTACCAAAGGGCTGAGCAAGAGGAGAGCTGTGAGCTTGAAGGGAGAACATTGGTCTCTTGTGGAGTGCATTTACTGCAAAGTTGCTGTTGGCTTATTTTTTTTCCAAGTGGTTCCTATATGGCATTATTTCTCCAATTTTTCTGGCTCTCACTCTCACTAAACTTCCTTTGTATAGCAGGGAAATGTTCCGAAGATGAATTTAAATTTGGAAGATTTCCATGACAATTGCATTGATCTGCTAAAGGAGCCAGGGAGGGATGAGCAGACAACATTCAGTGAAGAAAGGAATGAGGTAATGAAAGTATTTAGCTTTAGCTATGCGTTACTTTGTCTTTGAGATTTGTTGTGGTTCGATATATACATATACATCATATACATGTTAGAATGATAAGCATTTCACAGACATGTTAGCCTAGGCTAGCTCTACTTTCCCATCTCATGCCCCATTGCCCTTTTATAGTCAATCTTTCTTCATTTTATTTGAATACCTGTTACAGCAGTACCAAAAGAGGAAGTTTTTTAAAATTGTTTTACATTACTCATTAGGAAATATTAGTACACAAAACCAGGTTCCATATTTTCCCCCTAGACTCTAACTCCACACATTTCTAAGCATCTGTACTAAGGCACCGAATCCAGCTGAAATACAAATACTATTTAAACAAATGTTTAAATCTTTTTCATATATATGTAAATTAAGAACTAACTGGGGGCGACATATCCTCACAAATACAAATACCTCATGCTTTCAAAAGTTGTGTTTAAGTGGTCACATCCTTCTGGGCCTTCCCTGTGGATATATGCTGTATTTGTAGCTGTTGGATTACAGTTGTGCTTGATTTTTTTTTCTCTTTGTCAATGCGTTTGTTTCTGGTTTTATTCTCCTGGATGAACGGCAGACCAAACATGATTCCCAGCAGCTCTCAGATTAACAAAATATACTTCTATGATAAAAGAGTTACACACACACACACACACACACATTCACACTCACACTATTTGTCAGTTATTTCATGAAGCAAGGTTTCTTTTCTTGCACTGAGTACAATTCTAGATTCTTTACAGGTCTCTTTTCCACAGGTTGAATGTGTCAGAAACCAGTGCAATCAGACAGCTCCTAGCCAGCGTTAATACCATTAAGCAAGCTACTTTTTGAGTGGTACAATTTGGAGCCATTTACACCTGGGTCCCCTCTAGGTACAAAAAAAAAAAAAATAGCTGGCTAGCCTTAGTCATCTGTCTGACTTCAATCTCCTGTCAAATGATCATTAGTCATTCTTATCCAAGTCAGGGTTTCTGCAACACTCCTGGCATTTTATCCAGAGAAAGAACTTCTAAGCAGGGAGTGAAGGTCTTATGTATCATAAAATATGTAACAGCCTTGTGCCCCTACTGTGAGCCCTCTTGTTACTTAGCCTGTCTGAGTATGTGGATTGTAGCATGAATATCATTTACTTTACAGCTAATATCCATTTATGAGTACATGCCATGTTTGTCTTTCTGAATCTGGGTTACCTCACTCAGAATGACTTCTTTTTTCTTAGTTCCATCCATTTGCCTTCAAGTTTCATGATGTCATTCTTCTTAACAGCTGAGCAATATGCAGCATCTCCTTGCTGTTTCCTGACCGATGCTCACAGCACTGCTGTCTGCCTAAACTGGACTAGAAAAAAAAATGTCAATGGGCATAACCAATATCCCACTGGAGAGCAATACCATCCCTTATACCTGTACAAAGACAATCGGTTAAAATGATAAGGAATAGTATTAAATACACTGAATTTTAAAATCTATGATTTTAAATATTTTTGACTTGTTACAATATTATTATTTTTTAGCTATACATATTCTCCTATCTTATGTGTTAGGCGCATTTAATAAAGACTCAGAAACAAAAATCATTGCTTCCAAAGCAGGCACACTCATCTTTTCTACCTAGTAAAAAGGGTTTTTTTTTTTAAAAAAAATCTTGTTTTTATCTATTTTTATTAAAAGAAACGTGTGCCTTTAAATAAAACAGATGCAACTTATTCTCATTGACAAGTGACTTTTATTTTAAAACAAATTAAAAGACACACTAACTCATCAGTCGTTTACAATGCAAGCGAAGGTCCCAATTGCAGCTGTCAAGAGTTCTCACTGACATCATTTCCTACCCTGTCTGCTGCTGCTGGTACAGACAGCATAATGAACGGGCAGCAGTACGCTTCATTTACAAGCAGCTCAATCACACTTACCCTCTTATTGTCTCTATTATTTACATATAAGTCAGATGTAATGATTCTCCAAAACCTCCAATGGGCAAATTATAGGAAAGCCCCAGGTAGATGCCTAGGATCACACTGCACTCAGTCCTGATACCCTTAAATGCTGTGACTCTTCCTCAGAAAACTATTTGAGCTGGAAAAAGAAAACAGTTATACAGAATGATTATAAGAAGATATTTATGACAGGAACTTTCTCCTAGAGATAGTGAAGTCCTTCTCATGTATCCCGACTCCTGTGTGGGGTAGAAGGCATTAAACCATTGCATCAGTGTAATGCACATAGCACTGTCAACAGATTACTGCTAGTGTTTTATCCCTAGGCTGGGTGCTGAAGCTAAAGCCATAGCAATATCTGAAAACTCCCAAGGTTAAATGGCAGCACAGAGTATTAAAGGACTTGCCTAAAGCCATGGGGCCATTTTGGTAGCTGATGAGGGATTTGGATGCCAGCACTGAAAGCTATAGAATTTATTGCTAGGAGGGATTTAACAACCATCTGATCAAAGTTCATGTTACAATTGAAGAAACTGAGACAAAAAGACATTAAGTAGTTTCCCCCTCCAGAATGGCAGAAACTAATACCAGAGGTGGGCAGGTAGCCTGGTCCTTTTGGATTTCAGGAAAATACCTCTTCCACAAGGACCAAGAGGCTCTCCCGGAACTGCATCATAAACATGAGCTGTTTGTAGCGATGCCATGGATGCCCAGGCTGGCCCTTCCCTCTTCTGTCTCACCTGCTGTGTGCAGGAGGATTAGTAAACAACAGAATGAAAGTACCTCTCTTTTAGACAGTTCAGTGGAATGTGCTTATCAGGCTGGGATAGCCTCTGGTTCTTCTCATCGGGTCATGGAACGGTGTTAGACTTTGCAGAGACAGATGCCTTGGGAAACTAAGAAGAGTAAAGGGTTCTCTTTACTTTTCTGCTCTCTTTCTTTATCATGTCCTACAAGTGTTCAAATGTCTCTGGTCCCCTTTTATTTGTCATGAGCCCTCCTTGGGCCTTCTTCCCAAATGCTTTCATACAGAAAGTCCTATGCCTAGTATTGTCATTTGCTCCCCACCAATCCCATTTACCCTAAAGTAAGAACACTTAATGTAGAGATATTTAGGAATGCAAAGTGTCTGCTATTCCTTTACATGTGTGATGTGCACCTCTCCCTATGCAATGTATTTTGAGGATCACTTCTGTTCAGTTAGGTCAATGGGTTTATAATATAATAGCTTTCCGGAGCTGGCCCTATCCCCAGGCAGTGATTTTAAACCCAATTGATTGTGCCTAGCTGTGGAAATTAAAGTTTACCAGTTATGCCAGACATATGAACCAGGGCAATAGGTGTATAATTAATTTAAAAAAACTAAGAGCGTGGAGCTGGGGAAGTGCCTCAGTCTGGAGAGTACTTGCCACACTCATGAAGACTCTGTTCAGACTCCTAATACCCTGTAAAAGGCTCAGTACCACCGTGTGCCTGTAATACCAGCTCTGAAGAGATGGACATAGGAGGATCACTAAAGCCTGCTGGGGACACAAGTCTGAATGAATTGGTAATCTGCAAGTATTAAATGAAATACAACAACAGTAACAATGGAGGAAGATAGCCAGTGTGGATGCCTGGCATCCACACACATATGCACATCAGGTACACCTGTTATGTACATATACATACACATATACATATCACATACTTAGCAAAAAAAAAAAAAGAGAGAGAGAGAGAAAACAAAAGCTAACTAACCAGTTTAGATAATGCCAAAAGAGAATCAGCATGAAAGCAGAGAGCAGAGAAAGATGTACATGAAAAGAACTTAAAACAAGGTCATGGTCAGCAAATCAGAGAGGAATCTCCCAACTGATTTCCCAGAACTAGTCAGAAAGATGCAAGTGTCTTACAGAAACAATGACTCCATGCTGAGAAAATTAGAAAAGATAGTCGCTCTCTGTGAATGCTTATATACCTTCTTCGTAAATGAAAAGTGTAGACATTTGGCAAACTGTACCTCACTGAGCTTTAAGAGTAGTGATTGTAACATTTTAAAATGACTTGGAGGACCGCCTGCCTATTTCCATGTTGATAACAGTAGTAGAGGGACCAAGAGCCAAATGAATGTGGTCAGAAAAAGTATTTACATAAAACATACCTTATTTTGCTTGCTGAGATGACTGCTCTGTGGGTAACTCTTGGTTAGCGTCAACAGCATAATTTACTATGCTTTCAGGAAGTCACTTATTCGATAAACACACTTGTAATATCCCCCTCCTACGATAACTGAAAAGAAATAGGAACTGAATAAGAATTTGGTCAGGAGATAATTTTACCTCTGGCTGTTAAGTAGTATTTCAATTCACTTGAGGGTGCTTTGAATATTTTTGGTCATGGTCATGGGACAGTTCCCAATAAACATTTGGAGTTCAGGGACTCCAGCACCATCTTCCTGAGACTTACCTTAGGTTTCCATCTCACACTGGGTGTCATTGTAATGGGAGGCTGGGAAAAGAAGTATATCCACCTAATGAAAACTTGGCTTTCCTCCTTTGAAGGGGCAGGTACTGGGAGCAGATGTGTTGACCATCAATGGAACAAGAGAAGATAGTCTTCCCAAGGACTTGAGGCAGTCCTCATCCAACAAAGAGGACAGTGCCCAGGGTCTGATCCTTCCAGAAGACATGTTATCTGGAGAAGAATCTGAGTGTATCTCATCTGATGACATCTCTTTGCCTCCACTGCCAGTGAGCCCCGAGTCCCCCCTGGCACCATCAGACATGGAGGTAGAAGAACTTGCCAGCTCTTCAGCCCTCGCCCTGCATATCAGTGGCTACAGGATGCATACAGGGACAGGTGGTCTAGGGAAGGCCCAGGAGTCTGTTCTTCCCCCACCCATTGCTTTTGTTGATGAGTGCCATAATAAGAAAGACACATTTACAAGTCATTTTGAGAGGCCCTATCCACAGTTCAAAGCTGAATCCTCATTAACCTCCAGAGGATCAGTAGAGATGAGTACCAAGTTGCACCTCAATGTGAAATGTCCAGCGCGCATGCCCCATGAAGTGCACGACAAAGCTTTACACCAAAGCTCCCAGGCTCAGGAGAACTCGCTAGAAACGCAGGAGAAAGTGCATGCTGATTCTAACGTCACTAAAACCCAAGACAGGCTGCATGCTGCCCTTGATGTATCCCCTGGCCTCAGCTCTCAATCAGACACCAGCAAGAGCCATCAGAGGCAAGTGGGTCCCCAAGGAGACAGGAAAAACTCATCTGCAGAAAACAGCGTGGTCAGCCTAGCTGGCCGGGCGCCTCATTTCTCCAGGCTGCTGTCCAATGTAACTGTCATGGAAGGTTCCCCGGTGACTTTGGAAGTCGAAGTAACAGGATTCCCAGAGCCTACACTGACATGGTGGGTAGCCTATAATGACAAGCCATAGACGGAAATAAATAACTGCTGAGACTATCTCATTTTGTGTGGACTAACCTAGAGGTTCAGGGCTGGCTGACTAACCCTCGGGACACTCAACCCTGCATGGTTTGATCTCACCGCACACCTCCACTTTCATTTAACTAAAAGTTTTTTAATGCCCTGGGAGGGGGAGTAACCATCTAAAATGATTGAACAGCCCCCTCCAGAAGCCCTGGAAGTTGATTCGGTTTGGTTTTCTTTCCATTTAACATTCCTCATTGTTAATAATTGGGTCTTGAAATGCCAGCCCTATTGTCTGCTTCTGCATTGGAATGGCATTGTCTTGGCTTGACACCCTTCAGGGAATTAAAAAGCCTAAGACACCATAGATTTTTTTTTCTTCCCTTTTTCACCCATTTCATCTTCCCAACAGAACCGCAGGCACCTTTGTGATATTTGTTTTGCTAAAGTTTCTTTTAATAAATACATTCAATATGAAATATTGAAATACTTTTATAACTGCTCCAGGTGCCTGATAATAAGCTCGTTTTTGGAAAGTGATGTAATACCTGAGCCGTGAACAGTGTGACCTCACTCTAGAGACATAGTTGCCTTTTCTTCTTTGTAAAAGTAAACTATAAAGTCAAGGCTCTGAACCACTTGCTGTGCATTGCAAAGTCGTTCTAGCCTTTTCCATGGGGCTTACTTCTAAACCTTCACAAAATTCTCATCCTTAGGCAAATTCACTTGAGAGCAAACTAAGGGGGGTGGGTGAGTTCATACTGACAGGCTAAGATAGGTGTGCTGTATTTTATTTATCAGGAACTTTCTGTGAGAGTTGTTTTGTTTTTGCATGTCTCATTGATGGTACTTGACTTGTAAAGCAGATACCTAAAGAATTTAGGAGAAAAATTTGGCGCTCAAATAGTACAAGAATCTGCCCTTGTGTAAGTGCAGAAATTAGCACTTTTTTGTTTGGTTATTTCTGAAGTTGCATGGTTTATTTTTACAAATAAAAGATTTTGTATTTATGAATTCAACAGGTATTTATTTCCTAATTAAATACTAGTTCACCCCAAGGAAAGACGTCGTCTGAGGTGTTTCTTAATTTTCTCCATACAAACAGCCCCATTAGTACATATCACTGAGGAACTGTGGTGTATGTATTGTTAGCGAACTATTGCAAATTTTTAAACATAAAACCACTTTGCCATCAGATCTAGAGTTTTATCCAGTGAACAGTTGGCAGGCTAACAGGGCATTGTGTATTCCCAGGACACTCTGAAGATGCAAAAATATCAATTAGGTAATGGGGAAAAAAAAATGATTCTGGGAGCTGGACCAAGCATGAGGACCTGATTTCATATTAAAAGTTGGATACAGTGACAGGCATCAATAATCTCAGTCTTAGGTGGTAGAGATAGTAGCTGAATCAGTGAGCTTTAGGTTCTGTGGGGAGACCCTGACTCCTATGATAAAATTTAGAGCAGTAAAGGAAGACATCAGCATCTGGCCTTGACATACATGCATACATACATATACATACACACATACATACATACACATACATGCACATACACACATGCCCACACAAATACATACATATACACACATGCATAATACACATACATGCACACATGCATACATGTGCATACATACATGCCCACACAAATACATACATCCCAGACACATACAAAGAAAACTGACTTGGGTTTCTCATCAGTCCGTGTATGAAAGTATTTATAAATAGATGTAGAATATGAGAAATAAATTCTCTGCTGTCTAAGATGATCCAGGTATCTATGCTCATAGAGAAGTTTTAGAAATAGGTCATTTATAGTCAAGCTGTAATGTCACAAATGCATTTTATAACGAGAAGTCATTGTCTTCTAATGAATTTAATTCACTAATAAAATGAGCTCCTTTCAGCAGGGGTGGTATAAAGTCCCTTCTTTTACATTGTGCATTTGTCCTGCTGGGAGACGCAGGTAAATTAACGCAAAGGGCCAATGAGCCTCACTTCTATAAGGATGTCAAATGGGAGTCAAGAGTCATGGGCGCTATTAAAAGCTGCAGAGAGGATGAAGTAGGCTGGATGTGCAAGTGTCACTTCACACTCTAGCTAATTGTTGTCATGAGGAGATGGTGACCCGGTATGACCAGACAGCCAGCATTTTGTTGTGTGTTTGTTCTTTGTTTTGTATGTGTGTTTTAAAGAATAACTGGATGTGTTTATTTTCATCTATAGTATTTTAACTGTTAAATGTTATCACAGAACTTTCGTAAACATGATCTGAGTCAATCAAGGTAATTTTCTGGCTACAGGTTGATAAACAGCCTCCCTGGTGTCTACCATAGCTAGACAACTCCTGCTAATGCTAGGGAATACTGCAGTGGAGATGGGCCTGACAGCCATAGCAGTGAGAACTTGGGAATAATGGAATCAAGAAGTAACTCTGACTTAAAACTGACTCTCTGCTTTAGGTTCAAGAAGGGCCAGAAACTCTGTGCAGATGGACACTTACAGGTTTTGCACAAGGACACAAAGCATTCGGTGTTCATTCCGAAGGTGTGTGAGGCAGACGCTGGCCTCTATGTGGCTCAAGCCCAAAACGGTAGTGGCACCCTGTCTTCCAAAGCCATCCTCCATGTGACAGGTAACCATGGGCCACCAATTACGAGAATAAACTGGATTGTGGTGTGTATCATCTATGTCAGCGTATCAGTAATATACTGGCTTCTTACACAGTAGTGACATGTTGCTATCAATGGACATTGTTATGAGCCTAAAAGACAATATGATTATTTTATTTTCTCATGCATCACACAAAGCACCCCCTCAACACACACAAACACACACACACACACACACACACACACACAGCAATTCATCTCCATTTTGACTAATCCCACTGCTAGGTGAAATAATTATGTTTTCTCTGCAATTTAACATACTTGGAAACCATGGGAAATTATGTACAGTGAATAATGATACATTTTGTACTCTAGGAAGAGAAATATTCTGTCTAAGAAGCTTATCTCTTATTTAAAGGCACACGAATGCTCACACAGATCACAAGGATCATAGGGTTGTGATCTAGTTTTCAAATCCAAATGTTTGATAATTTGTCTTTAACTGTGCTCATAACCATCTCTTTGTAGGGCATTACAAATCAAACTGACATTGTAATTCTCAATATTGTACTAGCTTTCCTTTAACTATGCATTTCACAGTTTGATCTTGTTTACTGAACAAACTTGACCTATGCTGTGTCAACATTCTCTACATTCCTGAGTCCGAGGATGTCATTATCAATAACCATTCCTCACGATGATCTCTTGGGCTTGATGTTGGAGAACAGACATGCTATCAGCTTCAACATGGAGTCAACCTTTCTATTAGCTCTGTATGTCATGTGACAAGATGGACTACAGGCTGCAGAAGGGGACCAGTTTTGCTCCCGTCTTTCCACTGCTGTGTATTGGCCATCTTGTACATAACTGTAGGCAGGTCCTACTGCATCTGCTGCTGCTGCTGAACACTTGTGTAGCCATTTGCAAGGCATCTCAGTGCCTCACTTTCCCATCTGGAGAAGGGGCTCATCTACCTCTTGACAGTTGAGTTTTTACTTTATGTCCTATGGTGATCTGGCCAATGAAAATGTGCTCAGTGAAGACTCATTACAATGCTTGGTATGATTTGCCATCTTGCTCCTCATTACCCATTAATTCCCTGTCAGATGCTGATCTTTTAGAATATTAAATGAAAAGAGTACTGTTAATATGTAATTCCCAACTACTCCCTTGGGAGAGGGTAAGACTGATGTTCAATGATTAGAGTTTAAATTCCTTTCTAACTTCTTACAACTACATCCTTTTCAAAGGCTTTGGACGGTAACCTCCGGAGGACATAATTAGGGTGTTTTAGGGGGAGTCTGGGTAAGACAGAAGAAGACAAATCTAGCCTTCTTTTGTGAAATTATCACTGTGATATTGAAGAATGTTATATGGCTTTCTAATTTGCATTATTCAAAAAAATAAGAGGTATTTGTTTTCATATTTTAAACTTTGTCATGCTAGGGTAAAATCTTAAGTTGGAAGAATAATTTATTACAGATTTTTGATGAAGGGAAGAAATTAATTATGTTGCTGGAAGACTGTCTACAAATAATCAAAATATTTAAATAGAATATATTTGACATGATATTAAAAAGCTACTGAATATTGTGAAAGATAAAAATGTCTAGTCTAGTAAAAAGTTGGTCTATTTTTTCTTGTGCTGTGTGTTCAATTTAATTAAAAAAATGTAACTGTTTTCTTTCACGTTTTGACAGAAAGCTATTAAAATCTCATATATACATCATCCTGAGGACCTCAATCTTTTCGCTCTCATCATTTTGTCCAATTTTAAGATTTTCCATATCTTACCTAGCTGGTATGGCCCATGTGGAAGCTAAACCATAAAATCTATTCATGCCCAAAGGAGGCAAGCAGGTGACAAATCCCATCCTGTCACACTTTCTAGCGTTTATTAATTTGATGAAGCCTCTGTTCCAATGCCGTCACCCTGGTTGTATTTAGGTTTGAAGATTGCCAGAGTGTGTGAAGTGCAAGCTCACTCTTACCTGTTTTGCTTCACTTAATATTTTTCCTTCAGGGAGTCAAATGATACAGACCTTCATCATGATGTATAACCCACTAAGGCCTGTAAAATCCCCCAAGATGCACATTTGTATGCATGTATAAGTTGAGCCCATGTATTGGAGAAAAATACTATGTGGGTATTCAACATTCAGTTCAAATTGCTTTGTAAATATCTCATCCATCTCAGGTGTGAGTGGACTATTCATGCAGTGGTGAGGAATTATAAGGTAGCCATAAGGCTATTCTTCGATTAATTAAAAAAACTAAAGTATGAGTCTCCTTACTGATGGAGTTTCTATCTTTACTGAAGAGTTTTTCATTGAAATGCCAAGCTTACATTTGGCCACTAATGAGTTGTCCATCTTCCAGTAAATAGCTTCCCACCCATGCTTAGAAGCATTCTCAAGTAAACTCCGTGGGTTACACATACACAGAAAATGTGAAAAGGACAAAGGAGTTTGTTGAAAAGAATGGTTTCAGCAGCACAGGATGGGGTGACAGAGGGGACGTGAAAAGTGACTAAAATTCATCGTGTACAAGTGTGTGAAACTCTCAAAGAACTAAAATGAAAAAAAAATGTGAGAAAATTCAAGTAAGGCTTAAAATACATTAAAGGTAAATACATAATTTATATCTATCTACTTCTAGTAACTATTCTAGACAATAATATAGAAATATTTTCAAAAAGGAGATCAAAATGGAATGAAAGTAAAAATTATATATGTGCTTTACATGTCAAAGGAAGGCAGAGACATGTAATTTGGGTTACTGGGAAGGAAAAAAAATCACTGTTGTTCTGATATTCCAATAAAAACATATATTGACATTGGGTAATAGTTTTACACACTTAGTTCCAAAATAAATATACTATAGGAATTCTTATTTTGTGTTGCTGGATTCTTTGTAACATAGAAAGCATTTGAAAATCATGACTTCAGGTAGATCATTGTCTGATTTCCCTCAGGCAGCATGTAGTTCCGTCACCACCTAGCTGACATCTCAACCTCTAACATGTCCACTGTCCTCTCTTTCTTCCCAAAGTGACAGTTCCAACCTACAGTTACTCTGTGCTCTCCTTTTCCTAGACTCTTCTTTATTGGACTTTTTTTTTTTATTATAGTCTCCTGTCTTCCTGTGGCCTCATTTCTGCCTATCCCCTATCCTTAGGAGACACCAGGAAGGAAGCCTTCTGACCTACCCAATCCAGTGCAGACATGCCTGCCATGTGCAGTCACCCGGCATCTGGCCTGTGTCACACATCTTGATATACAGCATAATAACCACTCATCTGAGCTTCTCAACAGACTGAGCCCCCTATCGGCAGGATCCAGGACAGCCCTGTTCATTATGTCCCCAGTAACCATGACACACTTATGCTTAATAAGGACCTTCCAGATGAAAGGCTGTCAGAAGTAAACAAAAATAAACCCAGCTGGATTTTTCTTAAAACTTTTTTAGAGGTGTTGTGGGGGATGTAAGGGTAGAATGATTAGTCTTCTATTGTATAGACAGATCCAGGGAGATTCAGGCCCTAGCTATGAATCTTCCAGAAACAATCCTCCCTAATCCATGAGACGTCTACAGGAAGGCTTTACCCTGGAAGCTAGACCCTGACTGAAAATTTAAGCACAAAAATAGATAATTGTGAGGCCAAAACAATAATGAAGGCGCAGTAAAGTGTAAGCTTAGATTATTTTAAACCTTTTTTTTAAAAGGATTCTTAGCAAAACACCATGTGAGCCTGTATCACCTGACATATCCAAAACCTTTTACTTCAGTAAAGTCCTTCAGTCATTTCCATTTGTTTGGTGAATGTGGTGTTGGGGATGAAATCCAGGCCATTTTCAGGACAGATAAACACTCAGCCACTGTGACACACTCCCAGCCCTTTAAAGCAAAACAGAGTAAGGGATTAATCACTGTCAAGTCTGCATGCTTCCCTCTCAGTACCTGAATCTCCCCAAAGTAGGATGTGTATCCTCCTTTTGAATATCGCAAACATGGTCAATGTGTAAGTGTGGTGAAGGTTCCATAATCTCACTGTGAACAGTTCTCATTTGAAGTTGGTAGTTCATACATACTCATAAAAGCAATAAGAGCTAAAATCCATAGACTGTTTGAATTCTAAATGAAGGAAGGCAAGAATACTAGGTCTTGCCCTGCTTCACATTGACCTTTATTGATGAACATGTTTTACTAAAAACGACCTTCTGGGGACTTTGACATTTCTGTTGTCCATCAGGTTTCCAGGTATGGCCATGAAATAAGTTATTTGAAGCAAATTAAACCTCTCCTCACAGATTACCATGATGTGGTGCATGTTACGGAAATGCCAAAGCATGACGAGCTGTTTTCCATTTATAATGAGCAGAACATTGAGCTGTATCAGAAGTGCAGAAGATTTGCATTCACTAAATGAAACAGTGTCCCGCTTAAAGCAATAACAAATCATTTTCTCTGCTCGCCTGGCAGATGAGATTTGAATGCTGCCTGCTGTGCACAAAATTCACCCTAGACCCCAAAGGCACAGAGCTGCACATTTGGCTTTTCCCACACGTCTCCATGTTGTTTTTGTATGAGCCAGCATTTCTATGACATCACAAACCACCTGAGCATCAGTAGTGGGTGCCGGATGTGTGAGACTCCTCCAAGTGAAGTCTTTGAGGCAGGATTATGAAATCTTGATTTCAACCTGGTGACTAGATTGTCTGGCCAGCAGGTTCAAGGGCCAGTCTAGCTGCTGAATTGAAATCTAGGTTTCTTGACCCTATCTCAAAACAATAAGGTAGAAAAATCCTGAGGAAGACCTCCAACATTGACCTTTGAACCCTCCCACCACATGCATGCACTCACAAAAGAAAAAGAAACACACACACATGAGAGAGAGAGAGCGAGAGCGAGAGCAAGAGAGAGAGAGAGAGAGAGAGGGAGGGAGGGAGGGAGGGAGGGAGGGAGGGAGAGAGAGAGAAATACCACAGCAGACATACAGATAGAGGAGACACACAGAGGGAAAGCCCCTGTTCAGCACAGGCTGAGCTAGATAGAGATATGTGTCTGCTACAAGCCATGGATCCCTAGAGAGTGTATGCAGTAGAAGCCAACAGAAGAGTGAATGTGTTCTCCCCTAGAGACCCAGACAGAGCATGGTCTTTCTAATTTGTACCTTGTTCTTTTGAGACTTTGGTTTTCAAAACTATATCATAAATTTGTTGTTTTAAGCTACATGGCTTGTGGGATT